GCCATAAATGGGGTTATGTGACCAATGAGATTGAATCAAAACAGTAAAGTTGCAAGCCGGATGGATGAACAATAAAGCTCAGTAAAGCTGAGCAGAGCTGCAGATTCAGGTGATAATTCTCAGGAGGTTCATCACTATGAGTGATCCCCTTTCACATGGTCACATTGTTTTCACATTGTCATTGGATGCCTTGTTATTATATTGATTATAGCTGCTTTAACATGTAACACCATTCTTAGAGGGTGAAATACATCAAGCACAATCGATTATGAGACCGTGAAAATCCTCTTCAACATTTATATCAAAGCATAATGCATTGTGGAAAGGAAGATTGATTATCAGGTCTAAATGGTCACAAATAAAATGTTCCAGACCATTGCACCTGGGAAAAGAGAAAGTAGTAAAATCTATATGTGTATTTTACTGCTTGTGTAGAGATAATAAAGAACAATAATACATAAATAATTATTATTAGGTTGTAGGAAAAAGACATCTGAATTTGCAAATGCATTCCAAATAACTTAACCATCACATTCAGGGTTTGTCCACACAAGTGAGAATTGATCCACTAATATCTGTTGCATGAATGACACATATGCACACACAATTAAAAAAAGGGAGACGACATCAATGATTCAACAAGCCGCTGGCTAATGCTCTAAAGAACTTGATATCAATGAAATACCTGCAGTTCGTATTTAAAGCTTTTTGATACATTGACTATAAAGAGAGAGGAAAAAGAAGAGTATCCACAAATAAGCTCACACACACACTTAAAATCAATATCTAATTTGACACAGCTGTCACCTTCACCAGACCTGCAGAGCAGAGAAAAACGCAGTGACCTCCGAGTCCAATCACTGAGCGGTGACATTGACCATATGGCTCGTCTTGTGTGACCGAAACTCTTCCCATCCTTGGTTTATGTGGGATAAATTGTTGTAAATACGTTAGTATGAGGGTGGCTTTGATGATAGTTTGTAGTCCACTTGTTTGTATGTGCAGTTTCAATTTCTGCACAAAAAAGTTGGTGGAAAAGTTGAAAGAAAACTTTCACACATTTAAAAATTACTTTTCAAAGGATTTATTTATACATATAACTCCTTCTTTGACAATGACTGTTACCCAGATTCTCCTCATCAGAATACAAGAGTCCCTACATGCAACATTTACCATTGCTTGTGAAAATAACATAAACTAAATCCCACTGAGTCAACTGAAAACTTTTGGTTATGCTATATCTTGAATCTTATTATTCTGTTATTGAATAAAGCTCCGCTTGGAATACCTGTATTGCAGAATAATTGGATTTTGTGAGGATGATTGGCTTGATTCAATTTGTGCACAGGTTTGCCCAGACGGGTCTGTGTGCTGCAGCTGACACTAAGTGACTGATCAAGAAGAAAGACATTCTTACTATGCAGACTCACTGCGTCAAGTCCAATGGAAAGGATAAACAATAAAAGAGGAAGCTCTCATAATGCTGCCTGGTTAGTCCCCTCTGAGGCTGCATAGTGGATACAGTATAACAGAAGAAGAATACCCATATATCCATAGGTTTGTCTCAACAAAGACAGAAGTATACGGATATAACACACACACACACACACACACACACAGTCGCATGCATATAAATCGCACTGAAACAAGCCCTGTAGATATAAAACAGTCTGCAACTGTCATTTGTTCCACGCAGTCAACTGTGGACAGATTTTGACAGATTAGATCTCGTCGGC